ACTGGGGCTCTGCTGGTGCCTAAAAGAGGAGGGATGCGCGCACGCCCCCTCGTGAGGCTCACACTGGGCAGGATGCCTGGATGGGACCTGGGGAACGGTGGGGGGGGCAGCCCAGTCTAGCAGATGATGATGCTCGTCCGGCTGCAAGGTTCACAACACACACACACACACACACACACACACACACACACACAGAGAGAGAGAGAGAGACCTTCTTAGGCTGGATTCTTTTAATATTTCATTAAAGGGTCATCATCATCATCATCATCATCATCATCATCATCATCATCATCATCTTCGAACAGAAGAGCGACCCCTAACGATCATGGAGTCCAGCCCCTGTCAAGGAACCTCTGAGCTATCTAGCAAGAAAAAGTCAGGGTGGAAATACAAGAAAGAAAGAAAAAGAACGAACGAACGAACGAACGAACGAACGAACGAAAGAAAGAAAGAAAGAAAGAAAGAAAGAAAGAAAGAAAGAAAGAAAGAAAGAAAGAAAGAAAGAGGGAGGCTTGAATTTGCAACAAGGGGGAAAAGAGGGAAAGGGGTCCCATAATTTTTTTTTGGCGGGGGAAGATGCTTCCAAACTTTTCTCTGGGGTTTGTCGCTACCGGGAAACGTCTGTGTGTAGAGATATTTAACCAGATAAGTGCAGAAGAACTGAAGGAATCAACAATGTTACAGTACCATGTTACTATAAATGTAAATTAATAAATACAGGATAGTAAAATATAATACAGGGAAGAATGGTTCCTTCTCTGCTCCGGCATGTTCTCTTAATATCTCCTGAGGGATTTTTTTTCCAATTCTTATCTGCCCATCTATACGTGAGATAGGGGACGTGGTGGCGCTGCAGGCTAAACCGCCGAAGCCTGTGCTGCAGGGTCAGAAGACCAGCAGTCGTAAGATCGAATCCACGCGACGGAGTGAGCACCCGTTGCTTGTCTCAGCTCCCGCCAACCTAGTGGTTCGAAAGCATTCAAATGCGAGTAGATAAATAGGGACCACTTCGGTGGGAAGGTCATGGCGTTCCGTGTCTAAGTCGCACTGGCCATGTGACCACGGAAGATTGTCTTCGGACAAAACACTGGCTCTATGGCTTGGAAACGGGGATGAGCGCCGCCCCGTAGAGTCGGACAAGACTGGACAAAAATTGTCAACAGGAACCTTTACCTTTTACCTATACTGGAGACATTATTTTTTGAAAACTTGTAAGCCCCATAGATGTTGGTTAAATGTTTTCCTGCATCCCGGCATGGACAGGAGTGGGTAGAGGGCCCTTTTTGCTACCCTGGATTTTCTCCAAGAAATTCTGGATTTAAAGTGTAATCAATCCATGAACTCATTGTCATGAGGATTTGAACTCGGGTCCCTTGCAAGGTCGGCCGGACTGCCTTTCAGCCCACCACTGAAGGCCTCCAAAGGCTTAACCATATTATTAATTTTGACCTTGTTGAGTCCATTCCCACAACTGTCAGGACGATTTTTCTCTGTCAGGGAAGGGCAGCAAATTCGTGGTTATTTAGAGGTCCGCCGTTTGATTCCCTTACTTGGCCTCCTGGCAGAAAGAGGGGAGAGGAAACTGTTTCTGAGCTTAAAAATGTGATTTTTTTTCCAGACAGGTCTTTCCAGACGTGAAGAGGGGAGAGGAAACTGTTTCTGAGCATACCAAGAAGACCTGACAAAAGGTCACCATAAACCAGAATGGACTTGATGGCACATAATTATTATTTTTTCTTAGCATAAGCAAAATAATTTGAAACAATCGCTTAAAAATGTGATTTTTTTTTCCAGACAGGTCTTTCCAGACGTTATAACGTCTGAACAGTGTGGCTGCTTTGACATTTATATGATTTGTTCCGCCGCCTCGCTTTTATATTGCTTTAATTATTTTCTGTTGAATTTGTTGTGTGTATGTGTTTAATTTTGATTTTGTTTGTTTGCTGTTTGAAACGGTTGTTCATGACATTACCTTTTCTTAATGATGTAAACCACCCAGAGTGGCCTTGGCAGCCAGATGGATAGTATAAAAATCAATCGATCGATCGATCGATCAATCAATCAATCAATCAGTCAATCAATCAATCAATCAAATGATCAATAATGGTTTGCGGCAGCCATCTTTAATTTCCATGCCTCCTGAGGAATGACCTTTTCCTTATCCCCAGAACCCTCATGGTTTGCTGATGGGAATAAAGGAACGCCACTAAGAAATATGCTTTATAAGTTTAGGGTTGGAGTCCACCAGTTTCCCCAAACCAGACAGACCCAGTCAGTAATTAAAACTAAAAACTGGAGACTTATTTATGAAGCTGGGACATGTCTATAAGAAAGCATATTGACCTGTTCGACTGATATTTAGATTTATTTTAGACCTCACACTACTTTATCCTTTTCCTGAATTCCTATAAGAAAGCATATTAACCTGTTCGACTGATATTTAGATTTATTTTAGACCTCACATCTACTTTATCCTTTCCCTGAACTCTGACACATAGAATGACATCTTAAGGAGGGTGCCATATTTTCCCCCAGTCTTGGGCAGCCAAATATTGTGGGCCAGCCCTCCCAACCATGTGTATAAATCTCTCTGATGAGGCAGCTTCTGGTCCGTGAAAGCTAAAGCTGTAATATATTTGTTAGGGTTGGATTGTCCACAGAGTAAGATCAGTACCATTGGGTGAGAAACTGATTTCATTGGGTCTGCTGTACGCACTCTTACATTTAGCTTCTTAGTCTGTAATCCTATGCGTTTCCCCTCAAGAGGACCCAAAGAAACTTACAGCAAACAAGATTAAAAGCTAAAAAATAATTTAAATCCCTGCAGTATTAAAGAAAAACAATGAAACAGATGTCATATGAAAACCGGTAGGTAACAACAGTTCCGAAGAGACGTTAAAAACAACAGTAACAGAACAGCAGCATTTCTTAAGACAAGAACCGCCTTAGGCAGCCCATTGCTAAGAGAAAGGCTTCCTTCCTTTTAGTGAGGTAAAACCCTAACAGGATTCGTAGGACTGCAAAACTCTAGAGTCAGGAGGAACCCAAAAGATCATCTAGACAACCCCTAGAAATTGAGTTTATCTTTTCTTTCCCCCTCCTCCTTCTCATGCAGGCAGTGCCATGGCCTCAGAGGCAGGATCCGGATTGTCGTCTCATTGGGGTGGAGCTCGAGAAACTGCCTGGCAGCCCCCGCTGGACTCCCGGAGTTGTGAGGCTACAGGACGCCCGCACAACCAGGTACAGAGTGAAATCGGACCCTTGGGCCGTTTTGCTCCATTTATCTGGCTTGGACTGGCCACCTATTCCGCAGCTGTGGTCTCTCCCTCCGGGCCCTAACCAAGTCGGTCCTGCATGGCTTGCTTCTGAAATGAAACGGGATCCTGCGGTTCCAGGCTTCTCTCGTGGGAAATTTAGTTTTGAAACAGGGTTATTGGCAAGTCTTTGAGTCCAAGTCTGAGTTAAAAGCAAGCCTTTTTTCCCTAGGGGGAAAAAAGAGAGGGGTGGGTGGTCTGATCTTGAGACTAACCACCCCAGTTGATGATGAAACGAAAGTGCAGGAAAAACACCCAGCCTTGTGCTCGGAGTCGTGACCGACACAAAAGAAAAGCCCCCGCTTCACCTTCCCTCAGGCCTACTCCCCCGCCCTTTCGAAAACCCTCCCTCCCCGACCTCGACCTTCTCTGCCATTTGACTGCCTCTCCTGCATCTTCTGGCAAGTGCTGCAAAGCTTCTCCCAGGTTTACGGTGTCCATCATGAAAAGAGTAGGGACTTGAAAACACAACTCGGAAAAATGCTTCGGAGTTGAGTTCAAGTCATGGGGGAGGGAACCTCGAGTTAAGTCCGAATCGAGTCACCGGTGTGACTGACCTCTGACTCAACAGCGGGTCCCGCGACTCAAGTCCCCAACCCTGGTTCGAAATGCAAGAGGCGATTTTTTGAAAAAACAAATGTTAAGAAAAGGATGTAAGAAAATACTCCATATCCGTGTGTCTCTTTCTCCCACTTTCCTTTCAACAGCTGGTCTCCTTTGAGGAGGTGGCCATGTATTTCACTAAGGAAGAATGGGATCTCCTGGATCCGGGCCAGAGAGCTCTCTACAAGGAGGTCATGCTGGAGAACTACAGGAACATTCTCTGTCTGGGTAAGGAGTAAAGTGTGTAGAATCATAGATTAATTCAGTTGGAGGGGCCCCGTAAGGCCACTGTGTCCAAGGCCCTGCTCAAGGCAAGGAATCCAAATCAAAGCAGAGCTGACAGATGGCGGTCCAGTTTTCTCTTGAGTTCGTCCAGCGTTGGACCACTGACCAACTCCCGAGGGCATGGGTTCCGTTGTCGTACTGCTCTAACAGTCAAGAAGTTTTTCCTGATGTTCAGCCTTAATCTAGCTTCCTGTAACTTGAGCCCAAAGTACATACCACCCCATACTGCTTAAAGCATTCTCTGTGCAGCTTAAATGATGCATTTATGCAAGCTAGACATTGGACCCCCAGCAAGCTGAGTACTCAGTTTACCAACCTTGGAAGAATGGAAGGCAGAGTCAACCTCAAGGGGGCTATGTGAGATCAAACTCAGCTCACAAGCAGAGTCCTGACTGCAGTACTGCTGTTTAACCAGAAGGTTCCTTATTTTTGCTCTGATTAACAGCTGCCAAACCTTCTTGGTGTTTATCGGTGCTCTTTAGGGAGTGCCAGCATAAAAAAAAAAGAAACAGCAGCCAACCCTCTGCCTTGAATCACTAGACCTGACCTGCTTTGACCCCATTTTTTCACATACAGTGGTGCCTCGCTTAACGCATTTAACCAGAAGGTTGCTTATTTTTGCCTTGATTAACAGCTGCCAAACCTGTGAATTCCCCTTCTTGGTGTTTATTGGTGCTCTGATGGGATGCCAGCATTAAAAAGAAGAAGAAGCCAACGCTCTGCCTTGAATGGGACCTTCTGCGCCTTGAAACACTAGACCTGGCCTGCTTTGACCACATTTTTTCACATACGCCGCCTTCTTCAAAAAATCTTTTAAAAACTTTTCACCAAAATTTTTCCACCATGCCCTGGCAATCCAACTCCTGCTCATTGCCCAATGGCAGAGCCAGCTCTGATTGACCAGCAGGAGGTGACTTATGTTATTGTAATTATCTTGGAACTTCAGAGCTGGGAGGGACCATCTGGGTCTCTAATCTAGCCCCTGTCAAGGAAGCCCAGTGGGGGATTCGAACCCCCAACCTCTGTCTTTGCAAACAGATGCCTAACCACCACCCCCCAGCTTTCCAGAAGTTCTATTACTCTGCTCTAGACTTTAGGAAAGAAAGAAGTGGACGGGGGGGGGATCCCAAATATTTTGTATATATTATATTGAGGACTAAATAGCTTCTCTATCTCCTTGAAAGAATTCCTCAGACTGGAACTCCCCTCCTTGCCGGAAGACCAGCGACTGTTTGCCGAGGACTCCAAGGACAGGAAGCCCTTAGCAGGTACCTTCTCCCCTTGAGCATGTGCGAGACATGGTTGGGATGATTGAGGCTGCTGGCTGCTAAGCTAATCACAAGCCCTAATCCCTGGTCCCAGACAGTCTCCTGCCTACGGATGTCTCAGCTTCGAGCCCTCATCGGGCCTGCCTTGACTAGGCTGCGCTCAACAGGATGCAGAAATCTGGGAAATAAAGAGTTTTGCAAAACATGCCAGCTTTGGAAATAAGTGCGCTTAACTCTTAAAATACTTTCATGGTGAGTTTCTGAAAGAGAGGGATAGATTTAGAACTGGGGTTCCCAGCAAAATGACCATATCTTTATGTGAAGAAATATTTTATTTAAAATAGAAATTGGGAAA